TGTGTCCCTGCTTAGTTAAAGGTACATACAAACTTGGGGATAACTCAGTAGTGAAGTATAGTAATACACGTTCAGGAACATTAAGGGTGTTGGGATGATTTTCTCAGTTACATTTACCCGTTTCATTAAAAGGCCTACAAATGTTCCTATTGCTAAAGACTAGGCTCCTCAGTAGCTCCAGAGCAGCACAGGATAGAAAACATAAGCCCAGGTGGATAGTTTTCCTAAAGCTCTCTTTGATCTAACTCTCTTCCTAGGGGAGTTAATCATTAAAATCATGGGTCAAACACTTTTGAAAACTGTATTGGAAGCTGATGCAGGTTTTGAATGATGGCAAAGCATAGACCCAGGAAAAAAGATTGATTTTATGTAAATTACTCAGATGCTGGCATTCATATGCATTATTTATCTGTGTATGCACTGTGCCATATGAATGTTAAATCTCCTCATTTTATTTGAGGACTCTACTGTGTAACTGCATTAATACTCTGTAGTTATGTCTTTGCCTTACATAAAGCCAGTCTGTGAGAAGTCATTCTATTTTGTTCTAACCAGACTGCAATTCCTAGATCTCTATCAGATGTAATCATGTTAACGTGCTTATGTCCAGCTGCTAGGTTATTTCAGAACTGTGTATTCCATTTACAACCAGCAACCAACTCGAACCAGATTTAAGAATGATCCAGTAGCAGTGCAACTTCTCAAAGGCCATCAGAAGACAGTAAGCAAATATTTGTTTCCAGTTTCTTTCCCTGTGTTGGATTTTTCCCCCTCTTTCAATGAAGGTTAAGACTGAGATCAGGTTAAGACTGAGATCATAGTACTTGCATTAGTGCTTTTATCAGTTGAAAGTTAAAGGCAATGATGTTTCTTATTGTTTCTTTGGCCAATCACACTGTCCATTGTGTGAGGGATGGCTCCAGCTCTGGTGACTGAGTGCTCAGGGCTAGGAAGACTTAGAGGATGGATGGTTGTGCTGGCTTCCTGTCATTGATTCTGGCTGCCCCTTTGAACCCTTTTGAAGTTTCTTTGGCAGAACTCCTTGAAGAGTGACCAGGAAGCCAACAAAGATGGTTCCACCTCAACTGCGGTGGGTTGATGGGGCAATGGGAGGAAAGCTTACCCAATACATCTGTCTGCTCTACTGGTTTCATCCAGTTCCCCGCTCCAGATAGTTCTGCATTTCTCTGCTTCCCCCACAAGTCACCTGTGGGAATCAATTGGGCAATATCCCTCTTTTTCCATGCCTGCAGAGTCCGTTATAGCACAAAATAATCTGGTTGTATAATTGAGGATGATGACAAAGGTCTATTTAATGCAGAAGAATTTCTGCCTGTATAAGGACCGAAGGAGTAAGTTTTAACATACGTGCTCTCTCAGAATCTCTCTTCCCTAATATGTTTATCATATAATTATGACTTCAACCTCTCCTCCCTCAAATGAAGGCGTATCAAACTGCCATATATCATCTTAGAATAGACTTTTTCTATGCAGGATATCTAACCTTTGTTCTCCATGACAGCACTTTTAAGTTTTTTCTCAAATAGTAACTTCTTGTTCATGTCACAAGATGCTGGAGCTGCCTCTTTTCACGCTCATCTCTTCTACATTGGAAACTGTGCAATGTTCTCTTCAAAGCTAAACAATACGTATGTGACCCTGATGATATAAAAATCCAGAGCAAACTTTCCACTGATTTCAATAACCAGGGCTACTCTTCTACACACACACACACACACACACACACACACACACAGACACACACACACACACACAGGGAATGTCAGTTCTTCTGGATAACTCTCTTAAAACTCATAATTGATCTCAGACCCCACGATGGAATTGTACAAAACTTGTAGAAACTTCTGAAAACATCAATGTTAGTAGTTTCTATTGCTCTTAAGCACATAGAACATTTATTTGAATATTTGTGTTTTATTGCATGCTCTATGTAGTGTAATGTTTGTCTTGCATTACAAATAAGAAATAGAGAATACATTTGTGTCCTAATTTTGTTAGTAATCCTTTCTTTTTAATATATCTAAGCTCAAGGCTGATAATTATAATTCAAAAAAAAACATTCTTCATAGATTAGGGGCTTAAACTTTTATATTCTTCCTTTATTCGGAATGTATCCCTCAGGAAACAACTCTCTATAATAATCACCTTGCCTACACTTCTTCAGTCACACATTACATTCTCTCTCCCACTTTCTTTCAGGTTAATATTAGTGTTTGTCAGCAGCAGACTTTTTTTTTTTTTTTTGAGGCTCTGAGTCATTACAGTAGCAGCTATGTTCTCACTAGAGAGTTCAGGGTAGGAAAAAAACCCAGCTCTGTTGCCTACATGTATCTGACTGTTAGAAAACCAGAAGGCTACTCACTCCCTTTAAATGCCAAGTGTTCAATTACTTTCTGCCTGAGGGTTTGGGGGGGGGTTTTTGGTTTTCTTTTTTTAACTTGGGGAAAAAGTCAAATGTGATGCAGTAGGTTACTTAAGCGTACAATGAAAAATGCCAGTTTCAGATTTTTACAAAGCATGACAGTTTTTCTCCAAGTATTTCTTCAACAGAGGTCAGTTGGCTGGCTTTATAATCTAGCTCAGAAAAACTGTAGTCTCTGTCTACTCTTGCGAGTATTTGTGTATATTACAAAACCATTGCACTGGTTATCCTGAGGCGGGATCTGTGCTAATAAGAGGTCTAGGCAATAGGAGCGCTCTTTCAAGCTTGGCCTCAGGGGGTTGGTGGAGCAAGGGAAGCATTCAGGTAGCTGGAGAGCGATGTTTCTGGTTCTGGTTATTGCTGTCCTTCCCTCACAGAAATGCCCCCTGAGGTGCAAAGCTGCTCTTCAAAACAAAGTTTCAGAGTATACACTTCAGTGTACCACGCGCTGGCTCAAGAGCTGTGCAAAAACTTCAGGAGTGAGTTTCAAGGATATCTTAAGCCTGATTTGGGGATCACACTCAACTTGGAACGTGTCTGTTTCACCTGAACACGTTTCTAGAACATAGGCCTTTCAACTGAGCGGGAGGTAACGGGCTTCCCTTTCAGAGACTGATGGTCAAACCTAAGCCTATGCTACCATCCCGGTCTCTAAAGACTTTGCAACTAGGCAAGTAAGTATTTCCCTCGTGGTGACAAATGCCACAGAGGCATATAAATAAAAAGGCACTGTTATCTTCCTTGTTGCTAAGTATCCCCTAGTCAGTCAGAGCTCTTTGCAGCCGTCAGAACTGCTGCGCTGTAGCTTAAAAGTGAACTGTAAATCCCTGAGACAGATGAAGATATCAAGACAGATAATCGTGCAGCGGTCAGCAGAGATGCTGCTGGTGATTTTAATGACGGTCCTCGTCAGTCAAGGTGGAAGGTGACAACGCAGTCTGCAAAGGTGACAACAAAGAGGATTGGAAGGGCACACCGAAGGCTGATGGACGGATGCTGTAAAACATTCTCCAGCGTGCAAGGTTGTATTTGTCTCATCCTCTTGGTGACTGGGAGATCCAGCACCTAGAGAAAAAAGTATTCGGCATTGCTTGCAAGCAAGCAGATATGGTCCATGTGGAAGGTGAAGGATAGTCTTCTCCTGTCTTCCATTTTTCATTCTGTTTTTGACTGCGGTGCCAGCCTTTCTTCTTTTTTCTGTTTTTCTGTTGAAGAAATCAGCTGGGCTAAGCAGGCAGTTAGCCCTTGGTGCATAAGATAACAGATCCAATAATTATCAGAGGATAGCTTGGAGGGACCTACAGGAGGGACCAGGGCAAATGTAAAATCTTGCGTGTCAACGCAAACAATAAGGTGTTAGTAAGTCTCCAGCACGCAAAGAGGAAGGCTTGAAGTGCACTTGCTGTTTGTTTTTGTTTTAATTTGTGCTTAGGAATGAAAATGTTTGTCACGCTTCTGAAAACAGGAACAGTTTGCATAAGCCAGACCCACCACTCAAGGCGGCACTGTGACACTCCTACTCAACCCAACCATATTTAGCAGTGTGCCCATGTAGGAACTGCCAGGCCAGATTCTACCTGAAGCTCATATAGCTCATCCTTATCTTTGATATCATCTGGGTGCTTTGAAGAAACATGCATGCAAGAAACCTCAGAGTGGAAGTCCATGGAATAATCTCCTCACAGGGATTGTTCCCTTCTAATCTGCACCAAGGAACTGGAAGGTTTTCGTATCTGCTTGGGTTTCTTCTTAAAAGCTCCAAAACCTGTGCTCTCTCATTTAAAGAAGTTATCTGACAATGAAAGTCTAGCCTTTCAGAACCCCTAGTAATGTTTTGTGACAATTCATGTCAGAGGGTATCTGTACCTGACCGCTTGAGTAGAATATCTGCAAATATAGGACGACTAAGCACGATTGTCTTCCTTGACACTACTCTTGCTCAGAATTTCTAAGATGAAATTGATTAATGGATCACTTTACTGCTGCTGTCTTCAATTTCTGATCTGTTTCCAAAAAATCAGACTTTAGAGAACTATCCCAAGACCTGCTGGAAGCAGAAAGTTCCTGGCTGTCTTGTGAGGGAAGTTTCATAGCATTGCCTATGCTAGCCTCTAGTGCTTGGCTTCAATCAGCTTCCAAAACAACGTGAAACTCCTGTAATGTTAAATTAGAGGAATTGGAAGCTACGAACAACACTGTGCTGCGTTTCAGTTTCATTAACTGTCCAAGTCCACTTTCAAACTTAGAAAGCGCATATTATTATTGAAAAGACCTCAGTAGAAACATACTCTGCTTTCAGGGTCATGTTTAAGCTATCATGACATGACACTGTGCTATTTGATTTATGTTTTTACTGATGCTTTGACTGAGTAGTTTGTTGCAATGTACTGCTAAATGGAGGAAAAATCAGAAACTGCATCAGACAACCACTCTGTATTTCATTCTAGAAAATAGCTGGCAATTATAATTATTCACCATGTTTCTGGCTCAGAATAAAAGTGGCATTGCACAAAAACCACACTGAACATTCGTCGTGATTAGAAAATGCTCCACACCTTGGAGTGCAGTGGAGACATAAGAATAATTTTAAATGCAAATTAAATTGTGGGGGTAGCAAAGAGAACAGATAAAAGACAGTAAAACAAAGCCTTTCACTTTCCTCAAATTAGCAGGCTAATGTAATATAAAAAAAATCAGTACTACTCAGATCTGTGCTAAGAGCTTTCATTTCATCATAATATAAAACAGCAGATCCGTCACCTTTCTCTGTTCAGTACTCTTGATTTCGAGGTTGAAGTGAAAATTAGAAGCTGCTCATTCTGGCTCACAGACTGGGGTTGCATTTGCTTAGTCTTATTCCAAGACAGGAGGATGCAAAGAGGTCAGTAACACTGGTAAGTACCTATCTCCTGCGTCTGCTTTTATTTATTTATTTTTAAAATCCTTTGCACAGAGCTTTTGCTTTTGATCAATGTATATTTCCTGCAAAAAGCTACATCATGTATTTTGTGCAAAGCTGTATCTTGTACAGAAACGCAGTGATTTCTAGAGAATGCTTATATTAGATGTTAGAACACCATCAAGAATGAATGAACTACTAAAAGTAGAAATTCTGCAATAGGAAAGGTTTCTGGATAATCTGTATGTTTCATAACATCACTGGAGCATTTCGTGTGTTGCTTTTTCTGTATGCCTTGTCCAACAAGCAGCACCAGAAAAGAATTGAATCTTTTCAAGATCTTACTATTTGCATTATATCCATAATAAAATATTTAACAGTCTCATTACTCTTGTGGTAACTGATGAAGAAAGTAGGGGTTTTAGTTACTGAAAGCAAATTATTAGACAAAACAAAATGTTATAGTTAATCATTATGAAACACTTAAAAATATCTGAGAATACAAGATGCAATGAGGAAGATTAGAGTGAAAAACACATTCCTAAGGCAACTTGATGTAAATGTTTTTTTTCCCTAGGAAAGTTTTTATCGAATCAAAACCGGGGCTTAATTTTTCAGTATGAAGGGTGAGGGGGAGTGGGGGAGATGATCGTAGTGTCACCTCCTGTTGCTAAGTAACAACATCTCCTGGCCATTTTTATCTGATAGAGGAAGTCCAGTTGACGTTATGCATTATTCATCAGAGTTCCAATCAAACAATCAAAATTGTTTGCTTACACTGGGGACATTTAGTAAGATCAAAGAAGCCCTCCTTGAAACTACTGGAGCATACATCACTGCCAGGCAGCTCATGGTATTTTGCAGTAAGTATCGTTTATGGGTTTGGGAGTGCTACAGTAAAGTGCTTTGCAGTGGAATTTTAAAAGTTTTCTCATCAGGATAGGCTTCTAAATTTTAGAGAAGATTGCATGTTAATCAATGAAAACAGAACAGAAGGAAAAAATAGCTTTGGGACTCTGATTTCCTGATTTTAGCCAAAGTAGTTAAAGGAATTGTTTGAAGTGAGGGGTCGGTCTCCCTGCCTAAACCTTTCTGTTAGGTTTGCATGGAAAAGGAGAGGTATGTTTGTCTGCCTGTCTTTAAAACAACTGTTGTGTATAGCTGTTTGTATGCTTATGATAATATGCTGTAGCTAACTGAGGTTTGGAGGAGAGATCTGGATTGCGTATTTTCTGCAAATCCCGGATTTTTATGTGAGTTGGTCAGAGTAGAAGAAAATGCAGGAGGTAGCAAGAACATCGGAGAAGGGTCATAATAATGTCCATGATCCCAGGAACTCTGTCTGGTGGGGCAAACCTGATTCAGCGTACGTCTCAGATGTAAACTAGGACCTAGGCAGATCCGAGGCTCAGGAGAATGTCAAAAAGATAAACTTTAGCTACGAAGCAGTGCTTGCCGTGTTCTACCATTTGTTAATGATCGCTCTTATTACATCCTTTAGAACTGATGATAGCATGTTCTGCTGCAACTTCTGGTTGGTAAAAGGGGAGAGGGGAGGAAAGGCTGGTTTTATTTAGGTGGAATGAAATGTCAGAGAAAGTGCAGTTTTTTGTTTTCATTTGTAGTTCAGTGCTTTGGCATAATCGGCTATCTTTGCTGTCATCTATTATAGCAGTGCCTTCTAAGGGGTCCTGGCCATGGATCTGGCGTTGTTGTTGTCCTGGGCACTGAACGGCTAAAGAAGGTCCCTGCCGCAAGATTTCTTGCTGTTATTTTTAAGACCAAATTTAACAGGCAGGTGAATCTAAGTATGCATTGTAAGAAATGGAGACTGTGGCTAGGATAAAGGTGAATGTACTAGGAATCTTGCTAATGCTGTAACAGCATTTCTCTCTTATGTCTATAGACAAGGATTTAAACAAAATAACCTGTCTAAAATAGAAAAGGATCCTTATGAGTTTCTATGAATAGGGATTTGAGAATGTTTTGACCATAATGTGCCAAACTGAGTATTTTGATGACTGCCTATACAATTCTTTCCGCAAAGAAATTTTTCAGCTTTTTTGTCTGACGTCTCCATTATTTTTCCTAGGAATCTAATTGATCATCAGTACAGGAGTATTGTAGGCAAACACAAAGTTCCTTCAAAATGGACTACTTTTTGGATGTCGAGTCTGCTCACAGGCTGTTTTACAGTCAAGGAGCTCAAGGTAAGAAACTCTGGACGCTGTCTCAGCATATAACTATTATAACTGTATAATAAGACTTATAGGGCCGAAAAATGGCTGGCCCCTGTGACTGAGCTACTGAAGTGTAAGGAGGCATAGAGAAAGACCTTCAAAGTGCATAGAGTGTAAAACGGATTATAAGAACAGCAATGATAGGGCTGATTTCCTCCCTCGGAGGATAAGGAGAAGCTTATTGCTGTTGGGTGCACAGCAGGAACAAAAAGAGCTCTAGAGATCCAGACTGGGGCAGTGCAGAGCCAGAATGGACAAGTCAGAGGGGATGGCTATGTCCTACTGCATGCTGTGCGAACATGTGATGTGCTTCCCCTTCCTCCTCACTTCTCAGTGCTGGCAGTATTGGTTAGGACATGTTATGCAATGCTGTAGGAATAACTGACTTAGGCACTCCAATGCGCTGTACACAAACAGCACGCTCTCACTGGTCTGTACCCTTCCCTTGTGAAATGCTGGCCCCCACTAAATAATAGTGCAAGAGATAGAAGGAGTAATCAAACTTCCTAACTTTAACGTGGTTGAGACTTTTTTTTATGACATAGAAAAATGATATTTTTGGTGAAGTCGGTGCACATGTTTCTTACTAGCTCTATTTTTGATGAAAACTTGCAATTTCAAAGAGGAAAGGTTTTTCTATTCCTTAAAAAAAATCTTTAAGCACCGTATTAAGTCGAAGAAAACTGGAAGGACCAAGTAGCTCTATCAGCCTTTTTTTGTTTTCACATATTGCCTGTTTTCTGAAAACTTGGTCCATTTTTTTTTACAGTTAACTATATTCAGTTGCTAGTCAAATTCAAAGTCTGGCCAACAGTGTTCTGCATTTCCTCTGCAGTCTTCTCTGAGAGCAAAATCTAATCTACCCAGGGAATGCCACCCTCTCAGGAGGCACAGGGGCAGCACTACCTTAACCTTTGACTTGACTGTGGTGCTGCTGCATAACATGCACTGCATTGCCCAACTGCTGTCCCAGCCATTGTGATACAATTTCATCCGTACAAGTTAGGCAGAAAAGTGTTGACTGCAAAGCTTTCTTGTCACAACATAGCACTGAACTGCAACTGCAAATGCTCAGTACCTTAAGTGAAAATCTGATGAGGGCAATGAACAATCTTGCTTGCTTTTTTCCCCTCCATCTCTAAAATGCAAAACGTATCTGAGCATTGCTACAAAAATAACATTAAAATAATAAGTTTTTAGACAGTCCTCTGAGAAGAGACCCATTTTCAATTCCATAGAAACTAGAATGCAGAAATCTACAACTTCTTGCTTTACAATCTGCATCAATTTATCAACAGCGTTTAGGCACTACAAGGTGCAGAGAGGGCTATCAAAGAAGTAATATGCATACATGCAATGAGTGTAACTGTTCACTAAGTGACTAATAAAGGTTGCATAGACAACCTTCACTATAAGTATTTCCAAGAAGGCAGCTAGGGAGAAAAATGTTCTTTTACCCATAGTTGGAAAAATTATATTGTTATTACATATGGAAATGCTTGTACTAACCTTTTGGGTGCACAGCTTTGAAATTTTAACTTTCCCTTAGCATCTAGTCAGTTCTTGGTTTTAATGTGATTATTTTACTTTTTTTAAAATGCAAACTGTAAAAAAAAAAAAAATCCATCATGCAGAAATTGATATACACATGATCAGCAGGGGTTTGACCTTTGGATCTACCATGCCGGTTTCTGTCACTTCACCAAAACAAGTAGAAACGAGCACTGGGACTATTTGTCCCCCGATGCAAACTTTCTACAAAAGATGCCAAGGACATGCTTCCACTGTGCACAGCATGCTACAGAGGCTCCCAAACCCTACTACCTGCACAACAGGGAAGAGTATAGTGACAGCAGAGCCACGCTGCACTTGAGCTCTGTCCCTTTCATTTGTTCACCTTTCTCTCTGCTCCTATTCCTACACTGTTTCCAGTCCTTCATACTTCTTCCTTCATGTGCTCACCAGACCTCTTCCCCAAAATCGTAGTACTCTGCCCCTGCTCTTTGCATCTCTGCATTTGAGGCAGGCTACTTTCTGACAACCTGGATGCCGGCAGGGACATTGGTATGAGCACAGAAGAGACAGCGATTCTGCTCCACATTCTCAAATACTGCAACACAGCAGCCCCCTGGCAACAGGAGAAGTGCCTGAAGGAAAGGATGGATGAACAACCCAATTAGCAATAGCAGATATGAGAGATGAGATGTGGCTAGGGCAGACAGCAGCTTTAGAGTCTTTCTCTACCTCTGTCTACCTCTGCTGATGTTGCGCTGGGCATGAGGCGACAGAGATAGCTTTAGTGGGTCAGGCCACAAAGCTTCTGGAAGAGTTTCCACAAGCAGTGTTTCTGTGGCAAATACCTTTATATTACCATCCTTACCCTCAAGCCCCTTATTGGTAAGCTATCTTACTTCACATACATAAGGCACTCTGCTATTTCAGTGTGCCTTGGAGCTGTCTGTACAGCACTGATTATTCCTGTAATCTTTGTACCCTGTGCCAAATTCCAAGTCAGGCTTCATAGCACAGGCATTTCTATATGAGATAATGACATGATTTCTCCAAACATGGGCGAAAGAACATATTTTTTTCCTTAACTGCCTTCTGAGAAACAGTTAGACTGCTTTAGCTTAACTTTCTCAAAAAACAAAAAGAATACACTGAACGTGAAGCACCCATTCACTATGAATAGCGTAGCACAAGTAACTAGTTAGGGACTGAAGAAAAGGTCTGCAGAAATCATTGTTACCCAGTCTACCTAATGGGACAACAAGTAACTATTTGATGTTAATACAATAACACGTTATTATTAGCAAATCATGCTGCCAAAGAGCTTGTGTATATGCATTAAAACTGCATTATGCTAAAACTGAGGGAAAGAAGACTACAGCATTCTGCCATTTAATTAAAAACAACATTGAAATGCATTGTATGTATTATTACAGTTATCGCATCACTATGTGCCCTATTTACAGACTATAGAAGGTGGTTTATGACCCATTCACTCTTTC